ATATGAGCTCAGGTTGGTCGGATTATAATGATTCATCGTTTTTTGGTAAGACGTACAATTTCTTATTACGAAACGATTACCAGCATTTGCTGCGCGAATAGCTTTATTTATTTCCAAGCTTTCATTAACGATTTTTCAAAATCGTTAGCTCTTTTTATTTGTTTTCTACGATCTGATGGAAATTGTGATAATTTCATCAACTGCACATCGGCAGCTATAAAAAAGAATGTATCAAAGCACAATCTGGAACAATATTCATTTTTTAAAACTGAAAACAATATTCACATGCCATTACTTCGTCGAAACGAGTGGCACGCTTCATTAACATAGCTTCCTGCGCATGCAAAAGTGCAAACCACGCACATGTAATCTTGAAAATCAAACGAGGGGATCAGATAGTAGAGTAGAGAGAGAGAGAGAGAGAGAGAGAGAGAGAGAGAGAGAGAAAAGAAACGCAGAAGCTGATGGCGGGTCCTTTTAAATCTAAATATACTCGGTGTGAGGGTTGAACGGCCTAAGATTTCCGGTTCCTCGCGTTCTATTCTCCTTCCCCATCGTCGTCTTCTTCTTCTTCCTTTTCCTTTTTTCATTCGATGCACTTTTTCATCGCGCGCTTCCTCCCACTTTTCGTTGCACACGAAACCCAATAGCCCCGTATCCTCTAGGATGCTTCAGGACTATTTCCTGTTTGGCGCGTATACAGGGCGCTCGCGCGAGCGAGAGCCGGATGAGAAACCGCAACGAACGAGAATCTCTCTCTCTCTCTCTTTCTGTACAGAGTTGCGACAGATATTATGCACTATAAGTGCATACACGGTTTAACGTGACCTACCTGCTTCTCGCGTTTCCTTGCGACGCCAGGATACGTAAGGTGCGGGACCGCGCGTACGCTCGTGTGATTTCCAAAATATTTTCTCGCGCCTGCGGACCGAAAGTCAATACTCTCGCGGAATGAAAAACAAAAGCCATCTCGTCGGATGAACGAGGCAATTGGATGAAATAAAAGCAGTAAGTAGGAAAAGCGCAGCGCGTGAAAAATTCAAGTTGGCGTTACGGTCAGCGCTGCACGAGGTAGAAAGGAGAATGAAAAAAAAAAAAAAAAAAAAAAAAAAAAACGGGATCGCACGTTGCTACAAGCGGAAGGCGAAACTCGGTCGCATTGTTCAACAGGTATATGATGAGGACTATATGCATATGAAGCCAGTCCGCGTAATTAGCCGCTGCCACGATACGTACCTACCTATATGTCCGACTCGTTTTGCTTCTTTTGATGCGCGTACACGCGGGCGCGCATACACGTATACGCCGCGCGGCAACTGTTAACACTGTCAATCAGTTTTTGCTTGGTGCTTGAAAACGCACTTTGAACAAGTGGACTCTGCGCTCTTTTACATTTCAATTGCCGTTCTTTTAATATGCTCCCGACGAGTTGATCGTCGTGTAATTTTAACGTTCAACGTACGATCGGATTTATCGTTAATACGATCACGCTCACTCAAGTATCCGACTTGAGTGAATTTTAACCTCGGGATTGTTTTCTTTTTATAATTGATCGCGTAAAGGCATCCATCGAGAATTGCCGATCCTACGTTGCGAAGGTGCCACCAGCGATCGCACGCACGATCTCGAGATTAACATACGCAAGATCCGAGCACTCTGAAACTGAAAAAGAACACGTTTGCTCAAAGTTATCGTAAGCGAAACACGGCCTCCTTCTCCCCAAAATAAGTTTCATTCGTATAATTGAGTATAACAGCGTACGGCGCGCACATACACGCACACTTGGCGTGAAATGCCCCACATAGAACGGTTGTGTGTATGGTTAACACAGGGCCACCGGACGGCTATATGGTGACCTCCCCATAGGCTTGTGGCACGCGCTGCTGCTACTGCCAGCTGCCCCACAGCTGTCTCTCTTCGACTGGCACTCGCGCGCCGCGAGCATGCATGCCTCGACATCCCGCTCTCTATAGCCGCGAAAAAAAAAGTGTGCGTGTACGTGTGTGCGTATACTTGCCGAACGTTTGGTACGTACGCGGCTAGACAATCGCGGGGACCAGTCAGGAAGACTATGCAAATTCTCAGATGGAGAGAAGACGGGTTTTTCGGTCGGTTATGTGCTCTATCTCGAGAGCCAAAGGGGCTGTTGGCCAGTTTGCTGCTAGCTTAGATAATTTTTCAGTGGAAGATACTCGTGAGAGATTCTTCAGGTCACAATATATTTTTCAATGTTTTCATGTTCAACTACGAATATTATTTTTTCGATGAATCCCATCTATTCGCATTCTCATTTCTAATTTTATTGAAAGTAGAATTCATGTTGAAAATTGGATTTTCACATTACCGATCATCAATTTCACAAGCTAGTCGTGTAAGCATCAAGTTCTAAAAGATTTACGATTAACGCATTTGTAGTTAAAATATCCATCACAAATTTCGCTTAAATTTTATTGATTTTTCAGCCACCGTCTGAAACAATAGCCCGATTTTCTCGCTCAAAATAACGAAACGATCAAACCAACAAAAAATAAGAGACTCGACGAAGCCTAAATTCAACGAATCTATCCACTTGTCCCGTCCGACATACATATACCCTTAAAAGCTCATCGACGAAATACATAGTTATTGCCTGGTCTTTTTTCCTAGCTGTCGTCGTGTACATTTTTCCTTCACTTGGAGATGAGCAAATTGATACACGCAAGGCACAATATCATCGACGAGGCGTGTATTGCTGTTTATGCGCGCGCGTCACACGCCTTTTTTCCCCACAAACTGCACGCATCTGCCTCGCGACATTTGGTCCTTCGTTGTTCTTTTCTGAACTTCCGAAATGCGGAGCCTAACGGAAAAATCCAAATGGCTGCGCGCGCGACATACGGAAAAGCTGTCTTTTTTACAGTTTTGATACGCTCTCCGCTTCCTTGTTTTGTATGGATGATACAACGGAGATCGACACGTGGGATGTTTGGAAATCGTATGTCAGCAGGGTCTTTTTTTATCGATTCCTTTTCAATTGTAGCGTGAAATTCCAGTTTTATAATGAACACTGTGAATATTGAGGAAGTTTACAGACATATTAATCGAGATGAGCATTGGTGACCTAGCAAAACTAATGGAATTTCGTACGCGACGTTCGCATGGCAAAAACACGCGAGTATACTGACACATACGTGACGTCTACAATACGACAAGATAATTTCGCCTACAAGCAATCGTAGTGTAAATGCTTCTGCTAATTTCGACGTACATTAGCCTATTTCTCATACGATTTTGGCATTAGTATACCATAAAATTAAGAATCATGAAGTCTATCGTTGAACAGTCGGAAGCAACTAGGATAGGAAAATCCGTGAAATTGTTGGTTAGCATCGATGCCCCGGTACACAGGCCTGGCATAACCAATCGTCAGGCTAAACAAAAAGTCGAGAGAGGGAAGGACAACGCGAGGAAGGAAGGTGAAAAAAAGTGCAGCGGTGGCGCGCGTTCCACATAATAACGCCGGAACATCTGCCGTGTGTGGGGCCGAGAGCGATGATACATAATTCGAACAGCTGATGGCTCGCCTTCCTATAGAGCGCACCTTCGTGACGCGTGTCGTCGATAATTCCTTGGACTTTTCTTACGCCCGGAGCATCTTGCTCTGGCCGCCGACACGCACGCGCGCGCACATAGTTTCCATGTATACGTTGACGTCGGCGGAAAGGAGAGGGAGGTTTTTCTATGGCTTAGGCTATTTAAAGGGATCTCGCACTCGCTGGCGTGCGGCGAGCTTCGTGCTCTTAATGACTCCTGGAGCTGAGATTCTCTTTTTCACGACACATCTTTTTCGAACACCGGTTTGTCGCTTTTATTGCTTCTTATCGTTTCATATGCCTCTCGTCAGTTATTTATTTATTTTTTGGCGCGTTTCAAATAGTCGTCACTTTTTACCTTCGCAACTGCCTCGGAGTGAAGTCGGAAGTCACGGCGAGGGCATTTTATTCAATTTACTAAAGTGATAACGCGAGCTGCCAAATCGGCCAGTCGTAGCCAAATAAACTTTACTTGCCCTAATATTTCAATTCTAAGTAGCAATGGTACGAACAAAAATTAAAGAGACAGTGATTCATTAAGTTCATTTTTGACTTATAACACTGCGACATCAGAGTTACACAATGTACAGAAACAGTTTTACTCAGTGTAAAGTCAGATAAAAGAACAAAGTAAATACACTTGAACTCGATAAAAATTTATCTACGGTAGTTTACGTTTACTTAGTGCAACAATAAAACTTTGACGCTTGTTAAATGTATCGTTACCAGCGAAAAAAAGTCGGTATCTCTGTTAAAGAAAGCGAATAAGAAGACGTTGGTAGATTGGAGCGTGGTTAATCGAACAAATGGTTTTCCTCGACTCATTCTATAGAATTATTGTCTCTCGGTAATTGCAATAATCGCGGAAAATGTTACTCGAAGCATGCGCGACAATCGAATCGACACGGCAATTCCGTTGCAGTTTCCAGTATTAAAGTCTCGAAGGAACGATGGTAAAATCGAGTGGAAATATGAAAAAGAAAAATGGCGCTGATCGACGGCGATCGCCGTTATCCAAAATCAGAGCTCGCACATTACGGACAACAATGCCATACGCACTCGGTGCACGCACTTCGGAAGCGCACTCGACGTCCAATTTCCTCGTACCTCTCGCAGTGCATTAAAGTTCATCGAACCCGCCGACAATCGAAAAGAAAGCACGATGCCCACGCCGGGTTACAAGATTTCCAAAAGAAAAAAGAAGGAGAATAGACGAGGAAGGAGCGTTGGGCAATAGAGGCGCGCGGAGAAAAGCGCGCGCCCGCAGCATACCCACACCGACGTACTTATACAAGCGCGCACGGACAGCATTTGTCGTGGGTAATAGAGGGAGAAGAGAAGGCCGACCAATCGGCGTGTATACGCGCGAAACTGGCGGCGAGAGAGAGAGAGAGAGAACGGTGGTAGTGGTGGTGGTGGTGTCACTGCCGCGGCTTGCTCGAGAGCTCGGCAGTGCTGCTTCAACGCTACCCCAGGCAACAGCGAGCGAATCTCGAGCGTGCGCGCGCACCCACGATCGGCACCTCGCACGTGTCCAGTACGCCAGGGCCCTTACGGTCGTACACATCGAGAAGTGCGCGTCGGTGGTGCAGTGTCGACGTACGCCCTCGACTCCATTGTAAATCGTCCCTGTTTTCTTTGATTTTTCCGTTGTTTCTCGCGTCGCCCGCTTATCTCTGCCCGCTAGTGGTTCACAAAAGCGGTCCTCCGAAGAGTCTCGCGTGTGTGGAGAATACGAGCAGCTATAAAGAGGACAGAACCTCGAGAGCGAGAGAGGCCAGACGGACAAACAGCTGCTTCCGGTGAGTGCGTGTATATGTGTATAGATTTCGAGGAGGGACGCTTCGCAGACGAGGAAAAGTTGCCTTCGAGAGGGCCCTCGTTTCTTTTATTTTTTTTTTCTCTTTCTTTCCAGACGATCAATTTGATCGATATCGAAGGAGGACTTGCGTCGGCCCAATTATGCGCGCGCGCTCGAAGACGGACTCATTGTGAAATGCGCCAAGCGATATGTTAATGACTCGCTGATAGCGCGGCACGCAGAGAAAGACCTTGCGATTCGTTCGCGCCGAGCGAGCTTCTGGCCCGTCGCAGGTGCGCGCGCCCCTATCCAAATTTTTATCGCGCAACGAGCGTCGCGCGTTGCTCTCTCTCTCTCTCTCTCTCTCTCATCGTCAATTGTGACGGAAAGCGAGCACGAGTCACAAATTTAGAAGCTCCCGAGGTATGTAAAGGTCTCCGCGCCGAGTCTAAATATTTACCAGAGGGAGAGATACGTCCAAGCCGCGCGTGAATTCCGTCAGCTGACGAGCCGCTCCTACGTCACTCTAATGTAATCAGAAAAACTCACTTATTCCGAAGATGACACGTGCAGCCATTCATAGGCGAGGCTCCGGGCGCGAGTTCGGCCGGGGCCACGTGCTCCATCCCCGACGATTTATTAATAAACCTCGGCGCGAGAGTACGTCTGCTCGTTCTCAGGGGGGTACCCCCCGCGTCAGAGCTCCCGTAATCCGCGGTGCCGGGTACCCTTCCGCCACCTTGGCGGAATACTGGAGCTCGCGATCGAGAAATTTCCCGCTCCGCTCGGATGCTCGCCTCGAGCGCGCGTCTCTCGTCAGGCCGCTGTATTTATACAGCTTTGTCAACTTTGCCGCGGCATCGTGCACAATTTAATATATAGAGCGCCGCCGCTGCGAGCGATACGCGACGATAGCGCGGCTCGTTGATGCGCGTGCTTCTGCTTCTGGCCTCGGCGATACAATTGATAATGAGTATCGTCGATTTGGCAATCCCGATGTATTTCGGCGACGCCGCGACGCAAAAAGAGCAGCAGCGAGCACTCGTCCGACTCGACGGGAGCGTTGCAGAGCGAAATCGCGCGTATATATATAGCCGTCTCGGAAGCTTTCTGCGAGCGAACGCCGCGCCGCTGTTTCCTATAGCAGGCGCGCGCATACATCGGGCTCTATTTATAGAGAGATTTTGTCGAGTTTCGCGCGAACTTCGCGTATCCTCGTCCAAAGCTCTTTATTTTCATACGGAAACGCTCTTGCCTTTGCCTGCGCGCGCTCTCGCCAGTTCACTCCGCGAGCCAACGGCTTTTCAATGCCCAACTGGTCTTCCTTCGGCCAATCGCTATTGCATTGTTTCTCGGCTCAGTCGCGGACTAAGCGCATCGCGTTTCCCGCTTTCGGGAGAAATTACTCGGCGCCTAGATTGCTCGTTTGCGATGGAACGTCGATTCGCCGTTGCCGATGCGTGCTGCTGTCGTTGGTCGCAACGGACGCACGGCGCGCATTTGCCGATCGACAGCGAAGGAGAAGGCAAAATGGCAAAACAATCGCAGCCGAGCGTACACTCGGTGGACGCGCGCGCGCGTTCGAAAAGCGTCGCCGGGTCTATTACGAAAAAGGCAGGGCCCAAACCAGCAAATAACGGGCCCCGAGGCTCGTCGGCTGTGCGAGTGCACCGGTTTTCTGCAGCTCGCGTACGCGTGCAGGCACACAACAGGGCCGAGGCAAACGGCCCGCAGCTGCCGCTGCCGCTGCACGCGCTGCCGGCTTTAGGGGATCACGCTCGGCGGGGTGCGCGTATACTGTGCTGCTACTACTACTAGCGTCATGAACATTTGTGATATATATATATATATATGTGTGTGTGTACGCTCTTTGTTGGTTTTTCAAGCTCCTCTATATATATATATATATATATATATATATATATATATATATATATTTCTTCGTTGCTTTGGCTCCACGCTGATCATTGCAATTTTCCGAGGGCCACTTAGGCTTGGCAATCATTGTTCTCCTAGATTTGCCCGATACGCTTTTCGATCCAAATCCCACGAAAGAAAACTTGACTTTATGAAGCGTGACGTCGCGAAGCGTCTAAATTTAAAGAAAACTGCAATAGTCTTCGGCAGACACCCTAAATCTGAGAGACAATAATCTTCCAACGTTGCGGGATGACAAAGTCTCCGCTGCGTGCGCTTAGCAACGCTACGGCGGAGAGAGTGAGAAAGAAAGTGAGAGGGACAAGAGGGGAGGGGCCTTGATGAAGGGTAGATTTACTGGCAGTAAGGCCCCCCAACAATCCTGCCAGGTAGACTGAGATTATACTATGGGTCAGGCAGCGAAGGACGTGAGAGAGACAAAAGCCACGCGGAGAGTTTCGCGTTTTCTCTTTCCCCTCGGCAGCGTCGCGTCGTACCTGAATTAGGGGAGACAGAGAGAGAGAGAGAGAAAAATTATTACAAGCAGTTGGTAACTCAGAAAGAAAACTAGAGGGGCGCGCGCTGATGCCTTTGGATTTTCCGATTCTATTCGACGACACTCGCCGTGAGAAATTGATTCGCACGTGCTCAGGGGATTTGGAATCATGCATGGAGAGAGAGAAATTGACTCTGACTTTGTGTATTGATTTTCTGTTATTTTATCAAAATGTTTTTGTTAGCTGAATAACACATTGTTCAATCAGCAATGAATTCACTTAAATTTAATGAAGCGAAAAATTTTTCTTTATCCTCGTTAAATAAATTCACATACTAACAAATCTAATCATTGCTAGTTATTGCTAGTTAATATAGAAGTACTCGCGGTTAAGTTCATTCATTCTGTTTGGGTACTACATAAAATACTAATTTATAAAATAACTCGTAAAAGCAAACCACATACACCCGTTCCGACTTTGTGCTACTTATACAATGTGTTGAAGGCAGTTTTAAAGCTGTCGGCAGTGTATTTTGTGCCTTCATTTTCTTTGCTGCCGCTATAGAAATTTTTTTAAAAAGAACTAGATCAACATCGTTTCCCCACGAAGTCCAATAATTGTGTCGATCTCCCGGGAAGCTTTTACAGAATACTTGAGAAAACGTCGAAACGCCAAGCTACCTAAATATTTCTGTCATAAGTTTTCATCTGTCTGGAGAATACTGAAGTTATCCTCGATATCTTAAAATTAAAAATAAATCTGTGAATGCGATGTCAAGAAGAAAAAAATGTTTTCGAAATCAGTAGACGGACAATCGCGCGGTTGCTTACGTCATAATGTAGGTCGAAGTATTTTCATAATATTCACGTATTCGTCTACTAGTGCTTGAATCTGCAATAAATCGAAATGAACAATGTGCTGAATTGAATTTGAAAAACAAAAGAAGAAAAAGTAACGAAGTTGCCTTTTGGTTTTTCAGAGTCGCTTCCAACTCGATGCTGATCAGCCAGTGACTAGCGTCGATATTGGAAACACTTGCTTGCGCTTGTGTGAAGCCAGCGTCAATCAGATACACGACGAAAGCCGCTGAAGCGGCAAGGGTCAGGCAGCGAAATAGGCAGCGAGCTGTTGAGAATGTTGATGCCGGGTGCCGCAGGCCTCGGTGCCGTGGGCGCTCCGAGTCCCGACGATCTCGTGACCGGTCTCGGTGCGCTCGCCGGAGCTACGCCACAGCAAAAGGACACCACATGGACGAAACTGTTCGTCGGTGGCTTACCATATCACACAACCGACAAAAGCCTCAGGGAACATTTCAATGTCTACGGTGACATCGAGGAAGCTGTAGTCATCACCGACAGGCAAACTGGAAAGAGCCGGGGTTACGGATTTGTAAGTGCGATGTTGCATCCTTATGCTCGATGGCTTACTTTCTTTTTGCTGATGGGCTGGTATCGGGAGATTTTTTTTTATTTTTCTGATTGGGCTTTTTTGCAATGATGTGGTGCCACGGTTATGCGAGCATATGTTGCTGGCTTTTTTCTTCTTTTCGTAATGATAATATAACGAGCAAACACTAATTAACCAAAAGAATTATTGATTCACCGTATGAATTTTCGAATTAACGGATACATTGGGTATAACATCCAGGTCACGTGGAATGTGCAACACGAAGCAAATGGTCCTTTCTTTTATGTAAAATAATCGATTTTTTGTAGCTTACAAAAAAAAAGAAAAAAAAGAAGCGACGTTCTCACATTTTTACACGACCTTGTTATTATTCTAACAAATTGTCTTGTAAAAAAAGCATTTTAAAGAACTGTTTAAAACGTACGGGAATCCAATGCATGTGCACAGACAAGATGATGGATTTATTTTGATGGCGATTAAAAGCTACCTTACCGGAAGAATTCAAACCCATATACGAGTGAAAATAAACATTGTAAACAGATTTATTGCTATTCAGCACACGTCAAAATTTCATCGAAAATTTACACCGTATCAAACTTGCGACGGATCACGATCAAGACATCTGGGTTGTCCTTATACTAATAACAAATGTGAACCCCTCAGAAAAAATTTCAAAAAAAATTGAAAGAATTAAGAATTTCGCGTGCGTGCATTCAATACTGAGAGAGTTTCTCCATATAGTTGAAGTATATTCACATCCGCAAATATGTCGACGTACCAACGACGATTGCGAAGAAGAGGATAAAAGAACGGTATACAATGCCACAGCTCGCCATGTTCATGAACGAGTATACCTGCCCACGAAGACGCAAAAAACTTGATGTACAGGTCGCCCTTATCAGCAAACAAATGCCTGTCCGCGATAAAATGAAAATTTCTGATTTTTAACTCGAAGACGCGAACGCGAGAAAAAATATATGCCTTAAAAAGTAAATGTTTTCTAATAGACAATCGTTAAAGTTCCATTAAAGAATTAATTAGTATAAAGTTAAAAAAATTTTAAGAAAAAATTATTAGAATTGAAAACAAAACATTTATAAATTTGAAAGTAATATTAACGTCCAAAAATATATCAATAATAATATAATAAAACATCTGTAATATTTTTACTCGTGAAATTAGCATTGACAAGAAATCGATGTCTTGTTTACTTCGAAATTCGATTAATTTTTGTCACGGAGAAATAAAAATAACAAGATATAAATAAAAACTTAAAATTTGACGTTAATTGTCGAGTTGAGTGATTCCAAATCATATAACATTCGACGTTCGTATGAAAATGAAACAAGAACATGTAGGTACGCGTGAAAAAGAATGAAAATGAAGGCAAAGCGCGATACAAGAAATAAAATCGGTAAGGGAGAAGCGTGTCGTTAATAAAGCGATGCTCTTCTGTGTGCACTCCAGGTGATCATGGGTGACAGGCCGGCGGCGGAGCGCGCCTGCAAGGATCCGAACCCCATAATCGACGGGCGCAAAGCTAACGTCAATCTCGCGATACTCGGAGCCAAACCACGTGGCAATCTACAGACTGGTGAGTATTCCATTAATTTTCAATGTTCAATGCTGCTCAACATAGCCATCTGTTATCATGTCTATTGAAATGTTATACACGTGTGTGAGTGTGCGTCTTGGTTGTTTTTTTTTTTCCTTTTCCGTTTGTGGCAAGATGAAAGTTTGAAAGGCTTCGATAAATATTTTACTTAACAATTATGGCCATCATCGTGGTTTCTTATTTTAATTGTTACACTTGAACAGCACCAATTTTGGGAAATTGCAAATAAGAGCAATGTCTGCATGGTTTTTTGGTAGATTTTTTATGGTATAATATTAGCCTGATTGGCAATCAGTATGTTTGGTATTTTTCTTGATCAATGTGCAATTTAGCGTTAGACTAATCTCTAATCACTATTCAAAGCGTACATTCTTGAAAAGCTTGCAAGTAAATTTTTGCTTAAAGATTCAAAATTTTACCTCTTCTACCTGAACAGTTTATTTTATCGTTTCGTATACCACGACATACACTTGATAAATTGACTAAACTCGTTAAAACGCATGGCCAAAAATTATGATCAAAACGTATCCGCGTCGAGAAAATTTTGACATGCATCGAATTGATGTGGACGGCACCTGTGCGACAGCTGTTGCAACTCAATATAACGTAACGGGTAGCAGCAAGCGGCGTATCAACAAAAAAAGAAAGCTCGTCGCCGGCTTCCTCTCGCGTTTTGTCGCAATCTCCGATCTCTCTCTCTCTCTCTCTCTCTCTCTCTCTCTCTCTCTCAAACGACGAGTCTATTTTAGACTCCTTATCGAGATGAGACGTGGCGTGCACATCTTTTGAAGCAACGCCAATCGCATCCCTAACTTGTGTACATAGGTGCACGGGACATCATCCCGGAAGGTCGGAAATAATTTTAATTGCTTTTTGGAACGATCTCAATGTGGACCAATGTGCAATTGGAGAATGCTCTCGGCATGAGGAATTTCTTTGTATTATCAAACATAGAACTTGACAATTATAACGCTGTTTTACTCGTAATGGAATAATGGAAGGTTCGACAAATGATGTGTCGTGGACGAACATTTCAAATGGGTTTGACTAGAGTAGACATAAGAAGCATACTTGAAACAATTATAGTGCAAGGCTAATCGTAAGAGTGAGTACCGCATGTTACACTATTTGCGAGTTATAGTGGCGCTAAAGATATAAGAGTTTGAGAATGCAAAGTATATGAAATTCTGCACGGAAAGATAATATTGATAATTCAATTGAAATTTAGGACAACGATGAAATCTTCCAAGACACGGCAACTAAAAATATGTTTGTCGTCGCGCCGCAATCGTCTACATGCATCTTCCCGCCACTTTATAAATATGGTTTTCTTCCCACACTCATGCAAGGCAATAAAACGCACTTGAAATCCACGACCGTTTCGAACAAAGAGCACGAGCGCGCATCTCTCGACACAGTATTTTCGGCTCTTCAGGCGAAAATACGTAAAGTGCAATAATAATTTCCGCGCGGGGCTTCATGCGCGCGTCTTCTTTTTTTTTTTTCTTTTTATGGGCTAAAAGCCAACTAACGCGTCTCATTCTCGCTTTGCCCTTAGGCTAAAATTGCGCGCTGATGTGCCCGTGTGTCTCAAGCTCGCGTTCAAAAACAACGCATGATGCGCGACTTGCAAGCTCACCAGAGTATGTAGCTTGCTTCCTCTGGCTTGTAACGATTGGCCTTTGTTTCGTCATTTACGAGTCGGACAAGGGATTTGTTTTTTTTTTTTTCGCTCGTCAGCCAGGGATAACGTCGTGTTCGACAAGATACGCCAAAACCAAAAACTATTCGCGATTTGATAACATGGGCTGAGTTCAAAGGCTTCACGATTAAAATGTATTTTGCTTCAAACTGAGATGAACTAAAATATTATGAACTGTATATTCAAATAATTAACTTTGGAAACATTTATTTTTTTAAATATTTTATTGATTCAAATACATTAATTTTTTTTATTAAAAACGTTACTTTTGATATATAGGCAAACATATATTTGGAATGACATAAAGTTTTATTAGATCATAACGCAGCTATGAAAATATCAAGTCGATTTATCAAAAAACTAAGAGACATTGAATGGAGATCAGCGTTAAAAATAAACCCGATCAAACAAACAAAAAGCTTTCAATCCTGGTGAGAATGCTGTGCGATTGAGAGAGACGAGAAACCATATACTTTGCACGCCAAAAATGCAATGATGGGCTGGGTTAAATTATTATCTTTTTTATGTTTATATTTACAGCTTTCCCATTTGCTGCCATACGTCCCGGATACCCAGCCGTGCTTCCTGGTCAACTTGGGTAAGTTTCTTTATAAATTCGTTGAACAATTCCTTTATCGAAAAAAGAATTTTTTTTCAATTATAACGAGATGGCATAATTCCTCACGTTATCATTGACTATTAATTTATATTTTCGGACAATAGTTATTAATGTTATCAAATGTGATTCAATTTCTTGTTGATCAACTTTTCTTTATACATCAAGCTTCTATTTTCTTGAATATTTTCGTTCCAAAAAGTTATTGTTTATCTTTTTTTTTTGTTTTTTAAATTAATTGATTTGATATGGAGTGAAGAGAAAGTGTTGAGTGCCACATAATGTTTCTAGGACATTTGACTCAATTTCAAATCATCTGTGACGTTTCAGCATCCCAACGCGCTGTGATAATCACCTGAAAATGCTCCTCACCGAGAGTGGCTAATAAAAATTGAAAAGCGAAAGCGCAAAACAAGCGAAAAAATATCCCGAAAAATGAATTCATTGAGAGAGCTATAGTGAGCGCAATAATATGAATATAATGGGATGGGAGAGCAAAATGTCGCGGCACACGCACACGTAATACGAAGCCAAGAAGTACCTACGTACGAATAAACTTTTATATCTACTCGCCTTTTTCTTACGTATACATTATATTGCAGTTTCTTTTACTAGTTGTGAGGATCGAGATTTTATTTTTCTTTTTTTTTTCTTTTGGTTGTGTTTTATTTTTCATTGTTTACATTTTTTGTTTATTTGAGATGAAGTGATGGTGATTGATATAATTTATAATAATTGCGATTGTTGAGAGACTTTGAATTTGTTTGTTTCTCTCTTTTGACTGTTTTTTTTCACGTTTTCATTTACTTGGTCTTCTTTTTACCTTTTCTACTTTACATCTGTTTTTCTGGTTTCTTACGTTGTTTTTCTCATTGTACATGACACAATTACTATTTTTTATCAGCATAATACTACTTTAATAATCGATTAATATAACAATAGTAATGGATTAACGGCAGTATTAATAATAATAATAATTAACAATTAAAAAAGGCACCGCTAACGCGACTGTCGTGTTTATTTCTTTCATTTTTTTCAACTATCGTATACATTTGACTCATACGTCTTCGCGAATTGCTTTTATTACCTTCTGTAGTCTCTATTTTCCCTCACATTGCCATCTTTTTTTCGCTATACCTGCATTCTCAAAAGTCATCCTCCACACGATTGTGTTTATCAGGTATTTTTGCGTGTCATACCACGTAGAGTTTTCATTGTACGCTTTCATCACCACACGTAGCGTGTTTGTTTAAGGGTTGTTTGATTGTGTGATATACTTTTTTTTTACCAACTGTCGTGAAAACAAATTTTCTGCTTTTTCATATAGTAATTTTTGAGTATCTTATAGTCTTATAAGAATTTGATAAAAAATGTGTTTTTTAAAAAGATAATAAATGATACAAAACGCACAAAAATGATAAAAAATGAGATGCCCAAGTAATGCACTTACTCTGTAAGAGGCTCTCTCTCTCTCTCATCTCGAAAGAAAAACGCTGAGTAGGAAGGCAGGTCAAAAC